AGATGCCATGTTGATTTCATGTGGAAAGCTTGTAAGTATAGGGGCATTCACTAACATCTAATCTTTCAAGCTTGCTGAGGGATCCCACTGAATCGTGAACTTTGGTCAGATTCAGACATTTATTAACGATCATTGTTTTTAAATTTTGCAACTGAGACATATCTGGTACTTCGGTAATGAATTGACACTTTGAGAAATCCAAATATGTCACATGTGTCATGAATTCAGACTTCTGCCAAAAAAAAAAAACATTGTCTTTTGAGTAGAATTCAATCATTCAGTTTATCTAAACCAATGCAAACATACCACTCACAAAAAACTAGTCTCTCCGAACCATAATATAGGATATTGGTAATTACAATTCATGGTTCTCAAAAAAGGTAAAACCTCAGTCTCTTAAAATTTTTTACATCTTTTTAATTATACCCCAACTTTTCTAATTTTCACAATTGCTAACTATTAAAAACGAATAGCTATAGTTGTAAATTGGGAATGAGGTTGTCTCCCAAAGTCTCAATTTTGAAGAGGCCCAACTTTTCTTTTTCTCACAATTGTCTACTGATAAAAATGCTTAACTTTTGTTGTGAATTACCAGTAACCTCACTTAGGAATGAGGTTGTCTCTCGGTGTCTAAGTCATGGAGAATCCCGACTTTCCTTTTTCTCATAACCTTGGGGTTTAAACTACTTAAATCGCATCTCATTATATTATATTGGGTTTGAATTCCAAGTAACCCACTTATAAAAACCAAGCAACCTTAGAGATTAGATAGTCTCCCTGTGTGTTTAATTATCATATGTAGCTCAAGTGTACCACCCTATAATTTTTAATCCAAGTTTTAAGTTTAATCAATGGAGTTTAGGGCTAATTGGATTCTATTAATGTCATGGAAGATGTTTGGACTTAATTGTCGAAGTCTTTAAGCCCTAATATACACAATTGAGGCCCAAACCCACTCCAGATAGTTGAAGCACATGGATAGCATGTGACACTAGTGCAAAAGGCATTTTTTGCCACAGTTATATGACATTTTTCATGACAAAAAATGATGTGTAATAGAAGATTGTGTAATAATAAATGAAAACCTTTTATCATAGGTCAATTTGAAACTATGATAAAAACTTCTATTTTTTGCCACAGGTCAATGTGAGATCTGTGGGCCTGTGATAAAAAATAATATTTTTTACTATAAGTAATAAAGGACTTGTGATTAAAAATATCATCTTTTGTCACAAGTCTTTTATAACCTATAACGAAATATATTATTTTTTATCACAGTTTCAAATTGACTTTTGGTGAAAAATGAGCTTAACGCAATTTTTGGTGACAATTGCTATTATTTGGATTAAACATCTATCAAGACAAATATTTTTGTTTGATAGGTGCCATATATAGTCAACATTGTTTAATTTTAAAAAAATTGAATCAGCTGAGGGTTGGACAGAATTTATGGTGATAGGTATTAAGAGTGTCGTCATAAATATCATTTACGACAACAAGCCCATGTTTGACTGTCGCTATAAATGCTAAAAAAGAATTAAAAAAATGTGCATAATGAGCTTGGGGTTAAGGACAGAATTTAAGGCGTCGGGTATTTGAAGCTCTATCGCTATAAATATGGAGCTGAGGTATTTACGACGACAAACACCTGGCTGCCTGTCGCTGTAAATTCTATTTAATGTTCCAATAAATACGTCTTATTCCACACATGCGTTAATACTGCATTCATACATTATTAAAATAAAATTAATTACATTCTAAATAATATCTCTTATAAAATTCAAATTAAAATTAAAATAAAATATTTTAATTTATCATTTAATAATTAATAGTGTCTGAATACAGACACAATTAATTAAAATTAAATACTTGAACTCATTTTTCAAAAAAAAAAAAAGTTTTGACAAGTGGGTATTTACGACAACAATCAATTGGATGCCTGTCGCCGTAAATGCTACTTGATTTAAAAAATTTTAAAAAAAATGTGGGCAACAAGCTTGGAGTTAAAGATAGAATTTATGGTGATAGGTTTTTGAAGCCCTGCCGTCATAAATAAGGAGCTAGTATTTACGGTGACAGACATATGGTTGCCTATGTCGTAAATTCTATTTAATGTTCCAATAAATATGTCTTGTTTCAAACGCACATTAATGCTACATTCACGCCTTAATAAAATAAAATTAATTACATTCTAGGTAATATCTTTTATAAAATTAAAATATAATATAAAAATATTTTAATTTATCATTTAATAATTAATAGTGTCTAAATACAGACACATAAATGTGTCTGATTTCAGACATTATTAATAAATTAAGTTATTTAATTAATTTAACATTTATATTCAATTAAATGTGCCTTAATAAAAAAAAAACTAAATATTTAATTGATAATTTATTTTAAGTAATTGAATCATTTAATTTGATCTAATATCCATTTATGGTGACAGTTTAATTTAAGACTGGTAAAAAATGATGCATTTTTTAACTTATTTACATCTATGCCATTGAGTCTTATATTACCACAGTTTTTTGATAAATTGTGGCAAAAAATGTGTAGTTAAAATTATGGTTTGCACCAGTGGTAATTGGTATTATTTGGCTACTTTACATCTTGAAATGTAAAAGAAAGAGCAAACCCTAGATGGAAAGAGAGGAGTTCGAGCTCTAGAGTTTGTAACTTCTTATGATTTAGGCTGATACTGAAAGATGAATGGAATGAGAGGTAATGGCTCTAGATGGTGCTTTGTGGCTCTCTCTTAACATTGGTATGCAGCCATAGAGCCGGGCAAACAGGTTGAGCCAACGAGCTAGCCCATTTAACCCGCACAATTTGATGGGTTGGGTTGAAAAAAATTAGCTCATTTTTAAAAACAGGTTGGATTAGCCAACCTGCAAAATTAGCGAGCTAAAACAGACTAGCCCATGGGCTAAACGAGTTGGCCCGCGGGCTAGCATTTTTTAAAAAATAATTTTTTATTTTTAATTATATTATATCTTTTTATAAATCTACAATAATGATAATATTTCTTAAATATATAATTTATGACTCTCAAATTGTTCTTTACATTTGAAATATAATGTAAATTCTTTTTACAATTTGCAAATAAAATTTTTATTACAGTTTGTGAAGATGATTTATTAGTTTTTATAAAAATTTTAATATATATATTATTTAATATCATAAAATCTATTTATTGAAATTATAAATATGAATTCATTGAGAAAAATAATATGGGTTTATATTCAATTTTTTTTCAATGACAAAGATAGCACACTAGGCGAAAAGATAATTGATAGTAAAAATCTAACAAAATAAATTTGCTTAGTTGAATTCTATATTTATTTTATTTATTTATAAGTTTTTTAATTACTAATTTACTTTAAAATATGAAATAAATAAATATATTTATATTATATAAATTTTAAATTATTAAAAAAATTAATAATTTTTTGCAGGCCAGCCCGCAGGTTGGCTAACCCGCTAGAAAATGGCTTGGGTTAGATTTTTTAGCCCGTTTTATCTAGCGGGATGGCCTAACCCAACCCGCAAAAATGCCAGCCCGTGCGAGATAGCTCACAGGTTGGCCCGTAACTTATTTGCCCAGTGCTATACAATTGTATTAAGCAGTTGAAGGTGACTATAGTTTTACATTAACATTGACGAGTTGTGGATGGTAAAGGATATGCAAGTGTTAGTTGATCATGTTGCTATGGGATTGGGGATTTTAATGATTGCCTATGAATGTGTACCTCTTGCATGAGTGTATATGCTTATGAGCTATGTCAACGTAGCAGCATGGGTACGTCGCTTGCAGGTGTGTGTTGGCTACTACATGTAACCTTAACTGAATAGCACGTGTACCTTACAAGTGTGTGCTGGCCATCTCGTGTTTGGGTTATGTTAGATTTGGGATTAGTATTTGCATACTTCTCTAGGCGGTTTGGGTTAAACCATGGTGTACGGCCATATATGACGTCGTAAATTTGTTTGTGTAACTCCATTGAAAGGGATCGAATGTGAGTGGTTTATATGTACAAATCTTCAATATTATTGCTTTTGAATCATGTATAAGCCATGGTTACTGAGATTTGCAACTCATCCTTGTTATTTGTCATCCCCCAAGTGAAAGCACTAGTAGCATGCGACAGAAGGAATTAACCTTGCTTATTCTATCAAGTTTAATTTCTAATGCTCCTAGAACTTGCCAAGCTTTGAGTTGTTGTAGTTGTAGTTGCTTGGCCTATACCTTTGAATTGAACTTCAAATCTTTGTTTGTTAGATGTTTCTCTTGATGGTTTTAGGAATCAAAAAGGAAAATTTGATATGGGCTCTCAAAGCTATGTGAAACTCAAGGTAGTTTATTGTTATTCCTTAGATGAAAATTAAGGCTACAGTAAAATCAGTAAATTATACCAAAGAATAAATTGTGGTCGGGGGGAAAGGAAAAGAGTACCTTGAATGGCTCTTCCAATGTGAACTGACTTCCATTTAACTTCAAGCAAATTAGCTTCGAAGGAGAAAAATTTGGCGGTAAAGTCATAGAAGGATATCCTTTCCAGTCAAGTAATCTTAAAGTATTTGGAAAATATTTAGAACTTGTTGAAAATTGGGCATTTCGAATGATGAGAATCTTGAGATTATTCATCTTCTCAAATGCTATACCACCCCACTCCACTTTTTCTTGATGAGGTGGATCAAGTATTATTCCTTCAATATTACTGCTTCCCTGTAATGCAAGTTTGCAAAGTAACATTGTTATATATTGCCAAATTAGCACAACAAATTTGATGTATATAACTCTATATATATAAGAATGAAAGAAAACAGACCACAAGAAATAGATTCTTACTGAATTTTCTTGTAGCACTTCAAGAACATCTCTGTAATACCATAATCTACTACTGCGTTGACCAAGATTTGATGGCCCTTCTTGCCTAACAATCTCCTTGCCCATTTGTTGTATGAGATCATGCATGTACAAGCGACTGCTATTTTCATCAATAGTGATCAGAGATTTATCAACAAGGACTTCAATATAAAACCTTGCCCCATCATCACAAGCTTCTAGTATGTCTTCAATGAATTCTAATGCCTTCTTCTTAAAGAAACAAGCAATATCTAGAAAAACACGCTTAGCACCATCTGGTAAGCAATCATAGCTTATCTTAAGTACCTCATGGATTGTTCTTTCAGGGATTCTCTTGTACTGTTCCAACGTAGATCTCCATTCTTCAAAGTCCTTATGTGCCAAATTGGAGCCTACTAATTTTAAAGCTAGAGGAAGGCCATGTACATATCTAATAACATGATTGGACATATTTTCATAGCCATTTGGAGGTTGGCTCATACGAAAGGCATGCCAACAGAAGAGTTCAAGAGAGCAAAGTCGACTTAGCTCCTTCACTTCATATGTTTTCTCAACATTACGTGCAATGAGCAATTCCTTATTTCTTGTTGTTATAATAATCTTGCTTCCACAACCAAACCAATCACGCCCCCCTGCAAGTTGTTCTAACTGTTTAAACTCATCAACATCATCCAGAACCAACAAAACCTTCTTGCTAGAGAGTCTGTGTTTTATGTATGAGATTCCTTCATCAACACTATTAAGCTGCATTTTCTGTTCCCCAAGAATCTCTGATAGAAGTGTCTGTTGAAGACGAATAATACTTTGATATTTATTTGATTCTTCTCGAACATCAAACAAAAAACATGCACCGTCAAATTGGTAGAAGATTAATTTATACAAAGCTTTTGCAAGTGTTGTTTTTCCTATTCCACCAGTTCCATAAATGCCCAACATACAAACTCGGTCATCAGATTTATCCATAAGTGACATCACTTCCTCTATGCGAGTTTCAAGTCCAACCATATGATCAATGTTCTGGAAGCGTTTAGGAGGTATCATAGAATATGCATGTTCGACAATCCTTTCAATAAAGCCAGATTCACATCTGCAAAAGGAAAAAGAACAAAAGAAAAAAAAATTCACTATGAAGATATTTATGTAAAAGGTTTCTTATGTGCTTCTTTCCTCTTTGAATACATAAGCTCCTCAATTTTTAATCCTATCTCTCCAATATTTGCCTCTCCTCAGTTTAAGGATATCTAAAAGACTCTGGCTGGAAAAGGTAAATTCAATATAAAAAAACATAAATGGTACAAAATTAAACTTTTAAATGTAAAAGCAAACAAATCATTATTGTTGTTATATACAAAATTTATACCAACTTTGTACTATTCACAACATGTGAACAATTTAATTGATGGAAACAAAAAGAAAAAAGAAATAATTGAAAATATTAAAAATTTAAGAAGATTTAAATATTGAAATATTTTATATTAATTAGGAATATTCTATTTTAATTATTGCATTATTTTAATTAGGGTAAATGAGCAAATTACCCCCTAAACTTTAGATCCAATAGTACCATAAACTTTAGACTCATTTATTATACAAATTGTTCCCTCAACTTTTGAAAAAGATGCAATCTGGCCCTTGCTATTACCAAAAGTTAACTTTGATCATCAATTTGACCTCAAAAATTATAAAAAATGACCAAAAAATTTTTTGATCTTTTTTTGTAATTTTTTAGATCCTTGTCTATAATTTTTGGATTCTTTATTGTACTCGTTTGTCCTTTTTTGTAATTTTTGAGTCTTTATATGTAATTTTTGGATCCTTTATTAGTATTTTTTGATTCTTTTATGTCATTTTTCTAGTCAAATAACGATCAGAGTTAACTTTTGTTGATGTCATGGGCTAAATTGTACCATTTTTAAAAATTGAGAGAATAATTTGTACAATAAATGAGTTCAAGATCTATAATATTATTAATCCTAATATTTAAGGGATAATTTACTTATTTACCCTTTTAATTATTGTTATCTTTATGCATAAAGATAATATTGAAAAAAATTAATCAATTCCATTCGATCCATTTTATAACAAACTCTCAAACAATAGTCATGTAAAACTATTTGTTCTCATCATAAGTGTTTGTAAGTTTATTTTGAGATGGAATAGGATGAAGAGGAAAGACTAGAAGTTAGATACAATTATTTGAGAGAATTTTTTTAAAAGGGAGTGGAATGGTTTGAAATGACCTTACAAGCCATCCTTAGTCATCCTAAACTCATTTTCTCTTGTCTCACATTTGGGGTGTTGAGGATGGAATGGCACAATATAAATAATATTATTGAAAAATTACTCCATCCTTCTCACCCCATCTCACTCTTTCACCCCCTTTCAACATAAAACTGAAAAACATAATTATATCTAATTCAAATATATTAACTTTACAATTATTCTTAAATAATAATTAAATAAAATCATTTATGAATTCCTCCAATAAAACTCTCAAACAATTAAATGTTTTGTTCTATCTTACTCCATCCCACTCCACTCCATTCTATTCTGTTAATAATCATTTATTTTCATTCCATCATATATTCTTAAACATATAAAACTTTCAAACAATGAAAAATTTCATTCCATTCCACTATGTTCTTTTTCATTTAATTCTAAACTCTCAACACACTCTTAGTAAATTTAATCAATAGAAGGCAATTAGAAAATAGTGCAATCAAACCTACCCATCTTCGAAAAGCCATGCTGGTGACAAACTAGCAGCTTCATGCAAAGCGGCCCTCCATTTTTGCACTTTCTCCTGTTCATTCTTGAACCTACCAGCTTTATGATCAGCCATGGCTTCTCCAAAGCTATTTCTTTGCTTCTGAACATCCAAGGGATCCACCTTGTAGAAGATGGGCATCACCACCTGGTTCTTCTGCTTCCTACACCAAACGATGCGGGCAAGTTCCTCGAGGCACCACGTTGAAGTAGCATAGTTGGTGGAGAACACAATAATGGAAATCCTGGATTTCTCTATGGCTTTGAGAAGCGTAGGTGAGATCTCTTCCCCTTTCGCGAGCTTCTTGTCGTCGATGAAGGCGTTGATTCCCTTCCGGCACAGAGCATCGTGGAGACGAACAGTGAAGGTGAGTCGAGTATCTTCACCCCTGAAACTGAGGAAAACATCATATCTATACTTGGTTTTGCTGCTGGTGAAGCCAAGGGATGATGATGGCGCCGCCACTTGAATCGCCATGGTTCTGCTGAGATTTGAAGAGAGAAATTTGCACAATGATTGAAGCGTTGAAGACGGGAGGAAATTTATTGGATGTAGTGAGAACCAATGGTCTCACGAGTTTTTGTTTGACCAGTATCTTGAAGCAATGTTTGTGAAAATAAATAAATATTTTAAAAACTAATTTTACTATGTTAAAATCATAAAATAACAAAATTAAATAATATTTTCGACAGTAAAAATGGTGAAAATTGATCCAAGCTGTGCAGAAGATTTTTTTTTTTTTTTGGGGGCTTGGCAAATGTTGCAGAAGGTTATGCCTAGTTTTTTGTTTGACTTTTATCATTTTGGGAAGCAATTGTTTTGAAAATAAACACATAATTAAAAAATCAAATGAAAAAAAAATATGAAGTCAAAGTCAGTACATGTTACATTATTGTGTCATAACTTTTCAGTGAATTCTAAGTTTTTCTTTTTTTCTTTTTTTCTTACAGTTTGAAGTCAATGCTTGATGCCATAAGCAATACTCCCTCTGATCCTATTTATAAGTCATTTCTACCAACTTCATCAATACCAATACAATAAAAGTATAAAGAATAAAAGTAAGTAAAATTACAAACATGCTCCTATATAACAAATCTAAAAAGTAATGTCCTGTTACTTTTTCTCTCTCATGAAGGATAATTTTGGAAATACCTCTCAAATATTACCTAAAAAGACGCACCGTGACTTATAAATGGGACCAAATACACTTTCTAAAATTGGACTTATAAATGGGACCGGAGGGAGTACGCGCCAAACAGATAAGAAAGAGCTAGAGAGGGGGCAGACTTTGGAAAAATAATTTGGAAGGATGACATATAAGTTTTAAGAAGATCAATTCATTTAAAATAAGTCTCAAAATATTAAGATTTAAGAATTTGTAAGTTAGACATCATCATAAATTTGTAACTTATATTATAAATTTTAACAATAAAAATAAATTTAAATTATATTAAAATTTAAAAAAAATTATAAATTCATCATAATAAAATTATAAAATTGAGAGTTAAATTCATAAATTTTTAGATCTATATGTGATTCTCTCAAATAATTTTATTCTCAATCTCTTCACATTTGAAGGAAAAAGTTGAAGTCTTATATTTCATTTTTCTTTCCTACTTTTATTTCATCTCATTTTTCTTTCCTCATTCAAAAGGGTGAAGAGTTATTCTTTTTTTTTTCTCTCATATTTTCTATCCTTTCAAAAATTAATATTGACGCTACAAACACAAATCTACCGATATATTTTATTCCCTTCAGACCACAACAATTCATTTTTCCACCCAAAAGTATCACATTCTTGGGAATCCAATACCTCTCTATATGATAGACGTGGCAATTTCAAATCCAATAATGACAATATGGTGTCTTGAATTTTGGAAGCGACACAACATTCGATGAATAATTAAAGCGACACAATATCGTGATGTATTATTATGCTTTCTCTATTTTTTAAAAATTTATTTTATTTTTAAATATAATAAGTGACAATAATATTTTTAAATAATTAAATAATTTTATTTTTATCTTAAAAAATAAAATAAAATATTAATTATATATTTTTCCTATCACCATCATAATATTTATTATAATATTATTAGGTGTTAAATTGAAAAATTATTGTATTTTTATATAAATTTAATTAAATAATAAATTTTTATTGTTATGCAAAATTTGATTAAAAAAATTTTATATATAAAAATGGATGTAATATAGACTAAAATACATTTTTAGTTTATATAATTTTTAAATATTAATAAAATATTCATATGTCATTAAATATTTTGTTCCATCAATGTAGAGTGGCTTCATTTACTTTTAAGAAGTCAGTAAAGGAAAAGATGCCTAATTAAGTAAACAAAAGTTAAATTAGGAGATTCAAAAACGATTAAGTAGGGGCTTAAATTTGAGTTAGTGTGAAGGCAAAGCTTTCCTCATTTGTGGGCCCACTCAATGAAAGCCTAGATTACGATCAATTCATGTTACAGAACAGTGAATGCATTTTTTCCCCCCTTGAATTAAAAGGTTACAAAAAAACGTGCAGATGATAACTAGTTAACTCATTAAAGCTTGATAAAATTTTGCACATAAAAGTGCATCATCAAAAACATTAATATTTAAATTCTCATGCGAAATTTGATGAGCAAGTCAATTTGTGCATTGTTTGCTTCCCTAACTTAATCAAAAGTGATGATATAATTCTGTATAATCAGATTTTTAATTTTCTTGATAGTATATTGAATAGAGAATGATCCTAAGAAAATTTTCACAGATAAGTGCAAGAGCATGAAGAGTTACGAATGTTGTAACAAGGCCCAAAAAAAAAAGTGGTGGGGGAAATAACATACTAAAATAAGTCAACAACCATTTACTCTGAAATAAAAAAAATGTCCAAAAATTTGAAATTATGTATCAAAAAAGTCAAACAAAAACGAGGCACATAATCTTCTATCCCACTTGGATCCATTTTCACCATTGATCGAGGAGCCTAGTACTTAGTGGTATTTTTTAGGTTATAAAATTACTTCTTATGCTTATTAAAAAATTAAGCTAAGAATATATACTTCTAAAAAATTTGGCCTCGCGCAGTATTATTCATCTTGGTCCGTCCATGTTCGTTTAGTCCTTCAAAGGTTTAATACTAAACATTCTAACTATAAATTTTTTCAGCATAAACTTTTTTCATTTAATTTTTAATTATTGATTTTTTGGTGAATTATTTATTTACATATTTTTTTACAAACAATTGCTTCAGTATATAGGTGAAAAAAAAAACATCAGCTTCTACAACATTTGGATCTATTTTCACCATTCGCTGGTGATCATTTTATTAAATTTATTATTTATTATTTTTATAATTATATAATTATTTTAAAAAAATATTTAAACTTACCATATACTATACATATATTATTTTTTAAAAAATTGGCCTCGCAACGGGCATCTTGGCTGGGGCCCATGTTCATTGAGTCTTTTCAAAGGTATAATAATTATTTTTCTTTTTCCTTGGAACCAAATGTTCATGAATATTTGTTTTATTTTGTAAATGTCATTTGCATATAAAAAAACTAAAAAGACTTAAATTGTTTACTTGTATGATTATGAATTTGGATAAAGAATATGATGAACATTGATTGCTTTTTTTTTTCAATTTCAATGGATAATATTTTATTTATATTTTATTATTCATGCTTACTTTCTTTATTTATAGTATAGTTATTTAAAATATGTTAATTTAATCATGATTAGTCTAACTAGAGTTCATCTGAATGAACTGGTCGATCAGGCCAGTTATGTTTTCTCACAAGCATAATTTTTTTCTAAGTAATTTCTTAACCAATCACTATTATTTTGGAAAAGAAAAAAAAGTTGCTTGAAGATAAAAGTCAAACAAAAAACGCGGCATCATCCTCTGCAGTATTTGGATACAGATATTCACCACTGACTTGCGAGACCATTGGATCTGACAACACCCACATCAAATTGATGGAGCATAATTTTTTTCTAAGTAATTTCTTAACCAACTTGAAAAAAAAAAAAAATTGCTTGAAGACAAAAGTCAAACAAAAACGCGTCATCCTCTGCAGTATTTGGATACAGATATTCACCATTGACTTGTGAGACCATTGGATCTGACAACACCCACATCAAATTGATGGACCTTCACCTTCCCACCATCTTCCACGCTTCAGATTGTTTGACTATTCAAATCTCAGAACCTTAGCTTTAAACCTTGGCTTCACCACTGCGATTATAGCAGCCACCATATGGCGATTCCAGTAGCCTCATCATCATCATCCTTCAGCTTCAACAGTGGAACCAGGTATAGATATGATGCTTTTCTGAGTTTCAGAGGCGAAGATACTCGCCACTCCTTCACTGAGATTCTCTACGACGCTTTGCGCCGTAAGGGAATCAACGCCTTCATTGACGACAAGAGACTTGGCAAAGGGGAAGAGATCTCTCCTACGCTTCTCAAAGCCATAGAGAGATCCAGGATTTCCATTATTGTCTTCTCTACCAACTACGCTACTTCCACATGGTGCCTCGAAGAACTCGCCCACATCGTTTGGTGTAGGAAGCAGAAGAAGCAGGTGGTGATGCCCATCTTTTACAAGGTAGATCCGTTGGATGTTCAGTATCAGAGAAATAGCTTTGAGGAAGCCATGGCTGCTCTTGAAGATAGGTTCAGCGATGACTTAGAGAAAGTGCGAAAATGGAGGTCTGCTTTGTCTGAAGCTGCTAGCTTGTCACCAGCATGGCTTTTTCAAGATGGGTATGCAATTTTTTTTTTTTTTTGGGGGGCCAAACGTATGCATGTTTGCTATACTATATATATCTCCTAATTAATTGCCTTCTGCAGATCATGAAATTTTAAATACTCTATTTGTAGATGCTAATGATACTAACATGCTATTGAAGATAGTTTTGCTCGTGCAATTCAAAGTTCAATACTTCCTCCGGCCCTATTATATGCACTTTCTACAAGTATTTTTATCCTTGGTGCAACGAACACTATAAAACATTTATTACATTTTTTTCAATATTACTCATAATATAAATTTAAAAAATTTTTACTTAAACAGAGATAAAATTACAAGATTATAACTACATCTTTTTTATTTCAATGAGATAGTTGAAAATGACTTATAATAAAAACTAAAAGAAGCATTTCTCAAAACTTGGGTATTGAGATTTTTTCCTAGGTATTTAGGATTTTTTTTGTTTGTTTTTAAGAAATATTTAAGGTTTTTAACATAATATTTTCATTTTAATTTTGATTTTAATTTTAATTTTTTAAAAAATTACTAATGAAATCATAAAAAAATATTTTTTATTTAGCAATTGCTAATATGATTACTGCTAGATCGGTTAATTCTGAAGACGAACAATAATCCTTCGGCAACTTTTTTTGGCCTGATTTTTAGGAAATCTATGTTTTTAAGCAGGCAATCTATTGATAATTATTAGCAGTTGCACAATTTTTTGTTCAAGGTTGTTCATAAAGTACTTCGGACTCCGATAGTATTTTGGACATTCGAATATAACTATGCAGAATCAGTTAGCTTTTTACCAAACTAGACATATATTCTTATATATTGATGTATGGAATTTGAAAATTAAATTACTCTGATTCTATGAAAATTAAATTACTGTTATGCTTCGTGAATAGTGTGATTTGGTATATAAATTTTAAATTTGATAGTGACGAAATTTTTTATTATTTTCATACTTAAATTAAAAGTTTAATTTTGTTCTGTATTTTATTCTTTTATATCTATGTTGTTAGCCTGATCTTCGTTTGAATTTACTTAAAACAGTATCCTTTGAACAAGCAAATATTTTACAATTTAACAATTTGAAATAAAAAAACATTCCAAAGGACAATTAAGGACTAAAACATTTGGGAGCTTAGATTGAGCTTATCTATATATTAAAAAAAAAAAAAAGACTTCATATTAAAAGGAGATTTTTGTTTGTGTAGATATGATCAGTTTGGGTTTATTGAAAACATTGTCCAAGGTGCATTTGTTACGCTGCCCCCTAAACGCTTTCAAAACACTGATTACACGGTTGGACTTGAGCCTCACATAGAAGAAGTGGTGTCACTTTTAGATAAATCTGATCATCGCGTTTGCATGTTGGGGATTCATGGAACTGGTGGAATTGGCAAAACAACTCTTGCAAAAGCTATCTACAATTCAATCTTCTACAAATTTGAAGGTTCGTGCTTTTTATTTGATATCAGAGAAGAATCAAACAAATTCCAAGGCATTGTTCGTCTTCAACAGACACTTCTATCAGAAATTCTTGAGGAAAAGAGGATGACATTTAGTAGTGTTTATGAAGGAATATCCAGAATAAAACACAGACTTTCTCATAAACAAGTTTTGTTGGTTCTTGATGATGTTGATCACGATGAACAATTAGAACAACTTGCAGGAGGGTGTGATTGGTTTGGCAATGGAAGCAAGGTCATTATTACAACAAGAAATAAGCAATTGCTAATTTCTCATAATATTGAACAGACATATGAAATGAAGGAGCTAAACAAGCATGCCTCTCTTGAACTCTTTTGTTGGCATGCCTTTCATGAGAGCCAACCTCCAAAAGGCTATCAAGATATGTCCAATTGTGTTGTGACCTATGTACAAGGTCTTCCTCTGGCTTTAAGATTAATAGGCTCCAATTTGGCACATAAAAGCTTAGAGGAATGGAGAACTACATTAAAACGATATGATCTGATCCCGAAAAAAACAATTCACGAGGTACTAAAGATAAGCTATGATTGCTTACAAGATGATGCTAAACGTATCTTTTTAGATATTGCTTGCTTTTTTAAAAAGGAGAAATTGGAATTCATCGAAGAAATACTACAAGCTTGTGATTATGGAGCAAGGTTTTATATCGAAGTTCTTGTTGAAAAGTCTCTAATAACTATCAATGATGAGAATGGTCGCTTGTATATGCATGATCTCATACAACAAATGGGAAGAGAGATTGTTCGGCGAGAGGCACCATCAGATATTGGTAAACGTAGTAGATTATGGTATTATAAAGATGTACTGAAAGCATTGTGTGAAAATTTAGTAAGTATGGAAATCTTTAATATGTGTTTCCACGTATACATTAAATTTATCAAGTACAATTTGGCAATGTCTAACTTTTTTGAACATGCATTATAGGGAAGCAACAAGATTGAAGGAATGATGCTTGATCCACCTCAACAACAAGGAGTGGAGTGGAGTGGCTTAGCCTTTGAGAAGATGAATAATCTTAAAATTCTTATTGTTCGAAATGCCCAATTCTCAACCAGTCCTAGATATTTCCCCAATAGCCTAAGATTACTTGATTGGGAGGGATATCCTTCGATGACCTTGCCACCAGATTTTTCTCCAGCAAAACTAGTTTGTTTCAAGTTGTATAGAAGTCTTTTCAGCTTGGAAGAACCATTCAAGGTACAATTTTTTATACCCATTATAACTCTAAAAATTATAAAATTCATTTCATTAATACTCAAATAATTTATTATTAATTAAGACAATAATTTGCAATCATCTAAATATTTTAAGGATATGTATCATTTAAGACAAATTTCCAACAAACAAGCTAGTTTTTCTGCCAACTAACGAGCAAGATAATTAATTATTATTTTTTTTTGGCAGAAGTTTGAACATGTGACACATATGGATTTCTCACATTGTGAATTCATAGCTGAAGTACCTGATATGTCTCAATTCCAAAGCTTAAGAAGATTGTTGTTTCAAGGGTGCCGCAATCTGATCAAAGTTCATGATTCAGTGGGATCTCTCTCTAGGTTGGTCCGATTAGATGTCAGTGAATGCACCAAACTTACAATCTTTCCACATGAAATCAACATGCCATCTCTTCAAGAGCTCAATCTCAGAGAATGCAAGAGTCTTGACTACTTCCCAAATATATTGGGAAAGATGGATTCACTAACTGATATTTTTGCAAGTGAAACTGCTATTATAGAGCTCCCACCTTCCATTGGATATCTTCCAGCTCTAGAAAGTTTGTTTATAAGGTCCTGCAAAAGTCTTAGGGAGCTTCCAAACAGCTTGTTGATGTTGCAAAATCTTAGCACGCTTGATTTGGGAGATATTCAACCTCATGGAAGGAAATCATTGAAGAGATTAATGCAAGAGAGCCGACCAGCTATTAGCTACACAAACTTAGAGTACTTGGATCTTGAGAATTGTGGTCTATTGGATGAAGATCTTTGCCTAACCCTGAATTGTTTTCAGAATGTGCAAGAGTTAAATCTGTCAAGGAATGATTTTGTGTCCCTTCCTGAGTGCATTAAAGAGTGTGCTAATCTGATAAAACTAGATGTGACTAATTGCAAGAGGCTAAGAGACATACCAGAGCTGCCATCAAAGTTGAAGGACATAAGGGCAGAGAATTGCACATCATTAACTATGGAGTCACTAGGGCATCTATGGTCTCAGGTTTTTCTCACGCTTTTTAATATTTTTTGTTTCTTGTGCTATTTCTAAGACTAATCAAACTAAGGGCGCTTGTGTTTTTTTAGGACTTAACTGTTATCCTCCCAAATTTAATTGAAGGACATAGGATAGACAGTTAACATCTACTATATTAGAAACATTATCAATTTCTATAAATAATAAATTCAAAGTGCTCCTGTCTGTCAGGTGAAAATAAGGTTCTCTTTTAGTATTCTATTTTCTGTTTTCAAATCTTAAAATGCCTTTGGTCTTTTGATAAATCAGGTGAAAAATTGCTTTTGCTTGGGAATCGGTTCACCAGCAACAACATTTCCTGATTGGTTCGACCATTGCTGCAAAGGAGGGATACTGTCTTTTGGTGTTCATGGGAAAATTTTCCCTCGCGTTGTCATTGCAATTAAGTCCTGGAAATCCAACACAAGGAAGAGACACTTCTTCCAAGTTTTTATGAGAATCAATGGTCGTAAAATGCCATGGATACAAAGTGATGCTGCTGATGCAAGTGAAGAAGGTCGTGTGTTTGTTTTCTTTGGTAAACCGGGCCATGTGTTTTTATTTGATCTGCTTAAGGATTTTAGGGAAGAAGAGTTGGAGAGGCTTAATAAGTTTCTAAAATTGGATTGGAATGATGTGGAGATACAAGTAACCTGTCTCCCACATGATATCGCCGTAGTTAAGTGTGGAATTTATGTGGACAAGCAACAAACGAACATGGAGAATGTCCAGTTCAAGTCTCCAGTGATATCAAGAACTTCACTAAAACGCAGGGCAATAGCTTCTCCTCCTAATAAACCACCCAAGAAGCTCTTGAGAAAGTTCAAGGCTACTGATGAAAGAAAACTCAATAACACAAAGAAAGGGACAAGGTGAGCCTTTACTTCCTTCCAATTAGTGGTTGTTCAAGGTTTTTGCTTATTATTATAATCTCGTTTCCCTTTCATGTATTGCAGGAGAAGTAAACCACTCCAAAATTTTCACTCATGGTACAAGAAAAAGGTATTTTTTCTGATGGGTAAGCATCTTTGGAGATTCTTGTATTATTAGGTCCTATTTGGTATCCTGGAATTCAGAACATGAAATTGGAAATGGTTATGGAATTGAAAAAAATGTTAGTTTGGTATGAATGGATTTGATTTCCATGTATAATTGAATTCCACAAAAAATGATTGACTTGAGTTTCATGAAAAGATCATAAAAATGAGATGAGTTTTATGAAATTGTATTATTAATGAAATTTTAAGACATTTTTGCCCCACAACCACCATTTTTGCCGGCGCTTGTCTCGCACCAAACAGCATAGACGCCATCAACACTGGTCTTCGCCAGCACTTGTCTTGCCCCGCCATCAACTCCCTTCCTCCCTTTTTCCTTTCAATCTTGTAGTCGATGCCTGTAGCAATTTTCTTTGATTTTGATCTGCAACTGCTTGCTTTGGTTGATGCCTATAGCGATGTTCCGATTCTCTTTTTCTCGTTGGTCTTTATGAAATTTGGTTCTTGATGGATGATTTGGTTGTTTTTTTTTTTTTTTGGTAGAATGTACGTAGATCTAATTTTTGAAGCTTGAAAAATGAAGATGAACCCATGGCTTCAACCTAGAGAGGTCCGATGGGGTTGGGATTTAAGGCCTTGATTAGGTGACGAAAGTGGGTGTTGAAATGCGTGTGCTACTTTTTTTTTTTTTTTAAGTATCGGGTATATTGGTCTGGAATGGTTCCGGTGGGTCAGATGATGAAGGTGGGTGGCGATTTCTGGAATGAGTATGTATGTGGTTTCGATGTTGAAGGTAAATGTTGATTTGGGTTTGCTTTTTTTTTTTTTTTTTTTTGACTGGGGTTTGAGGTAGCCAATGGTGATACTAGTGGAGGGTAGATATACAAGTCTGGGTTGTCTAAAAAAAAAAAGATATTTTAGTTTTTTAATATTTTAAATATTTATATTTTAAATAAAAATAATATTATGATTCCAACAGCATACTAAACATATTTTTAAATCTTATATTCATCTCTACTTCCATCTTCATTTTCATTAAACTCTTTCATCATATCAAACAAGTCTTTAGGATTATCAAAGGTTACAATTGCTACCCATCTCTTAGTTAAACAAATAAAGTTTTTTTTTTTTTTTGAAACAAGATTAATTGTGGATTTCAGTGTAACAAATAGTTTCATTTTCTAATGCACTATCAATAGTAAATTGTTGAAATAGTTCATTCTTATAAATGTTATCATACATACATGAGTGCACGCGTACGCAGTGTGGATCCATATATGCCCATAATCTCCTAAAAACTTTTTTCCATGTTTAGTGATGTTATATATCCCGTAACTCTCCTAAATGGATTTTCTTTTGATCTTTATTCTTAGTTATTATTCTAAACTCGACTGCTTCACTTTGTACAATCACATAAATCGATTTCCCAATTTATGAATTTGTAACTTATGGGATGTTTTTTAAGGTTATCAATGGCCCATAAAGTGTAGTTTGGCTTAAAAAAGTCAAAGAGCCATAAAGTATAAATATTGATTAAAGGGATATAATTATATGAATCTTCTAGGATTGTAGTTAGATCTTGGCCATTACAAACTTATGAAAGCATTCGGCCTCTAGTTCAAATTCACCAGCCGTCCCCAGTTTGAATTCTTTGGCGGGTTCAATTTCTTTCACTACAAATATACTTAAGTTTTATGCTTCTCAATTCTCACTTCATAAGTTTAAGATAAAATTAAATACAAATTTTATGTCTAGAAACTTATTGATCTTTATTAAATTGTTATTTGCATGGTAAATTTGAATAGTAAGTTTGCAGTAAAATCTTTTCTAATATGCTTCAAGGAATTGATCGATGTCATAATCGATAATAGAATCAAATAAATATATTATTACAATGAATTAGTGTTTATAAAATTAAAGAATTCACTAAATCAATCAATTGAATCAATCATAATTAATATTATCGTGAAATATTGAATACAATAACGTAAATTACAGCATTAAAGTTATAAAAGTCCAATCAAACTCTTCTAGGAATAAAGTAGAATACAACATCATAAATGCAAATTGCATAATCCTCGTTCAAAGAAAATAATAAAAAGATTAAGATACATTTTTTTCCAAAATATTTTTCAAAAAGCACCTCTAATATTTTTGTTAAAGCAATTTTACCCTTAAAGTTATTAAAACAGAATTTTTTGTCCTTTTCTTCAAAATTTTCACGTTAACCTTAAATGTTGATCATTCAAAAATTTAAAGTGTTAAGATGCTCCTACCAAAAATGTTAGGATGTTAGGTGCTCCTTAAAAAATATTTTAAAGACAAAAATACACTTTTATTCATAATAAAATCATTCATTGCAAATGCAAATCTCACAATCCTCATACAATTAATGAAAGAAACTTGGCCAAAAAAACATTGAAAGAAACGACGACAATGAGTAGAAAGGCAAGCAAAGGTAAGAGACAAAAGAAAAAAAAAATTAATTGTTAAATGGGTTTATACTATAAACCCAACTAGGAAGCACAGATATGTTGATTTTGGTGGCGTATCTGTGTCGAATACATACCAGACATGAACACTCGCTTCACACGAATACGTCCATGTTCAACACTTTTTTTTTTTTCCTGGAAACATGGCGGGGCACTGAGGGATACTATGGGACACAGCTTCGATGTGGGATGCTGCGTTTTGCATAAAAAATTTGACTAAAGCCCTAATTTGCAAACTATTCAACTGTTCAAACCCATTTTCAAAGCCTCCATTCTCCCCTATGTGTAGATGATAAAACACTCTCATGAGATTGAGGGTCTGAAGGTTCAGCCTCATATAAAATTTCCTGAATTTGCCTATAGAGTTGACCTCCTTTAACCTAGCATATCTATGACCCTGCCCTTGACCACAGGGGTATGTCAAGAAAAACATCTAAAAAATGAGGACAATCTTTAAGGCAAGAACAAACATGGGGTTATGTTACAACCCGACAAGATGCTCTAACTTCAAATGATGTAAAGCTAGTTTCCCTTGCTGGATTGGTTGACAAGTTTTGTCAATGTAAAAATTTCAAGAGGTTCAAATTACAAGATAAACTCTACTAAAATTTCTACAAAACATTTAAAACTTTACGAATTTTATTATAATATATAGAAATTATATATCAATATTCTAGCTTAACCCTAATATGAAATATGAGATAACCGATCATACCCTTAATATCAAGACATGACACGTCAAGTAATTGAAGAGGTCAAGCCTCAAAATGTAGTTCAAATAATCATTGATAATGCATCTATTTGCAAATCCACAAGTAGACTTATAGAAACTGAGTATCCCACCATTTTTTAGAAGTCATGTGTTGTGCATACGCTCAATCTTATATTAAAGAATACATGTGCAGCAAAAAACACAAATGCAAATGAAATTGTATGTGACGAATGTCATTGCATAAAAGAGGTTAAGGATGATGCAGGTTTTATTAGAACATTCATCATGTGTCATTATATGTAATTGGCAATTTTTAATGAATTTGTGCCATTCAAGTTACTTGTCATAGCTGATACTCGATTTGTATCTACAATTGTTATGCTCAAAAGACTCAAGCTCATTAAAATTTCTCTTAATTTTTTGATGTAGGACTTTAACTTCTTTATCTCTAACACAACACCTACTTATGTGGAGGGACTCACATAAATTTCAAAAAAAAAAAAAAAATTCAAATCAAACTACAATGATTAACTTTTTCTAATAGAAGCATTAAATTAGGACTGAGTTATATTGAAACAGATGCATAGGGATTGAGTTGGAAATGTGTGCAAACTATAAAAAATAAAAGGGTTAATTTTTCCAACATAAGGAAGGAATAAGACATGCCAATGTTTTCCTCATAAACGTACATGACCCATTTATAACGATATTTAAAAAAAAACACCGAGAGAGAGAGAGAGACAATATTCATCCCATTTATGAAGTCTTGAATGAGATCGATACTTGCCCGCTGCGTGAATGGACAGTTATGTTTACCCATCTACCTCGGTCTGCAAACGCAGCAGCACACATCTTGCTCAACAAGCGCTGGACATGGATCTTGGCTTCTATATTCTTAGTGCTCCCTCTGATAGTCTTCTAGCTTTGCTAAATAAGGAGATGCAACGTGCCTGTGACCCCTAGTTAGGGCCTTTGTTATCAAAAAATAATAATAATAATAATAATCATCTTTGACCAAAGAAATTTAATAATCATCGTTACCAAAAAAAAATTCTTTAACATTTGATAGCTAGTACTTCGAAAACCCCCAAACATGCTCACCCATAGGAAATACTATCATTCTCTTGCGACAGAATGAAAAATTTGGTGTCGTTTAATTACTCTCCTATAACATAGGAAAGAGGAAAATTAATATTAATAATAAGCAGAAACCTTGAAAAAAAACAACTAGTAGAAAGTAGAGGCTGACCTTGTCCATTTCTTTGAGTTATTGAGTTTTCTTTTTATCAGCAGCCATGAACTTTCTCAGGAACTTGTTGGGTGGTTCATTAGGAGGAGAAGCAGTCTCTGTTCGTTTCAGAGATGTAGGAGCATTCATGGAAAGCTGAGAAGAATTGAACTGCACATTCTCCATGTTTGTGTGCTGTGTGTACACGTAAATTCCACAGCAAACTACAGGCAAGTTTGGTGTTAAACATGTGACTTGTATTTCCACATCATTCCAATCCAAGTTCAGATGCCTATCAAGCCTCTTCCACTCTGCTCCCTCAAAAGACCATCTTAAATCAAACAAGAACACGTGACCTTGTGTACTTCCATAATTTACATCTTGTTTCCTTAGTATTTCATGACCATTGATGTTCACAGAAACATGGAAGAAGTGTCTCCCTCTCCTGTCTGCTTTCCCCAACTCACATGCTAGGGCAGCGCGAGGGAAATTCCCGCGAGCATGAAAAGACAGTGTCCCTCCTTTACAGCAATCATCAAGCCAATCAGGAAATGTTGTTGCTGGCATACATATTCTCAAGAGATCAATTTCATTCTTGACCTGATTTACCCAAAGGGGCCGGGTACCAAAGGGGATTTCAGATTTGAAAACAACAGGTGAAAGAATGAAGATAAAATATTCCTATTTCCATTCCTAATAGACGAGTGCACTTGCAATTTAGGCACTCATAGGTGTTTCATTATGAGTTGATCTCCCATACATTAATATGTTTTCAAAAATTAACTGGTGACATCTAAGCAAAAGAGTTTAACACGTGTGACGTGGCCTAAACTGTTGACATGCAATGCAAAGAGTTCTACACAGAAATCGGTTAACCTGACCATTAATTTGTGGGGAAGTGACGGAAGAGAAGCTACAGCAACAATTTTAAAGGAATTTTAAGGAAAGGATTTACATATAATAATAATAATAATTGCAGCGGCGGTGACAGCGACAGAGGGGCCATGATGAACATGGACCAATAAATCTGACCAGATAAAACAAAGAATTATAAGGGGAAAAAATTTGGCCAAAGGTCAAGAAATGAATTAATGATTGTTTAGGGAAAATAGAGGGTGAAAAATGTATCTATATCCTAAATGAAAATTACCAATAGCTGTCTTACTAATTGCAGATGTATTTAATTTGATTTATCTGTTACATAACAAACGGGAAAACAAAAAACAAAAAAGATATGAGGCAAACCTGAGACCATAAATGATCAAATGACTTGGTAGTTAATGATGTGCAATTCTCTGCCTTAATGTCGCTTAGCTTTGATGGCAACTCTGGTATGTCTCTCAGCTTCTTGCAGTCATCCACTTCCAATTTCAGCAATTCAGCACACTCTCTGACGCACTCAGGAAGGGACACAAAATCATTCCCTGAAAGAGTTAACTCTTGCAAATCCCGGAAAAATTTCAATATTAGGATAAGATCTTCATCCAACAGACAACAGTTTTCAAGATTCAAGAACTTTATGTTTGCGCAGCTAACAGCTAGTAGCCTCTCTTGCATTAATTTCATCAAAGATTTTCTGCTAGGAGGGTGACTGTCTCTCAACTCAAGCCACTCAAGATTTTGCAACGTGAATAAGCTGTTTGGAAGCTCCCTGAGACTTTTGCAAGAGCTTAAATTTAAACATTCAAGCCCGGTAAGATTTCCAATGGAAGGTGGGAGCTCCTTAATAGCAGTGTCTTCTGCCCAAATATCCGTTAATGCATCCATCTTCCCCACTATATGTGGGAAGTAGTCAAGACTCTTGCAACGGCTAAGATTAATATCTTGAAGAGATGGCATGTTGATTTCATGTGGAAAGCTTGTAAGTTTGTTGCAGTTACTAACATCTAAGTGGACTAGCTTAGAGAGAGATCCCACGGAATAGTGTATTGTGTTCAGATTGCAACACTCTCTAAACAACAAGTTTTTTAAATTTGGGAATTGAGACATATCAGGTACTTCAGTTATGAATTCACAATGTGAAACGTTCATGTATGTCACGCATTCAAACCTCTGCAAAACAAAAAAACTAGGTAATTTAATTAACAGTAACTATCAAGAGATATTATTTGGAGTAAAATATTCTAACCTGTCTCTTATCTAAGCTTATACAGACCTCCAATTTCTGAAAAAGCTCCCTTGTATTGAACACCATAAATTATTGCATTAATTATTAGATTATTATTGTAATGAATTTGATAATTATTTTTCAGAAATAGATACACGCATATCCTTTTTATTGTGGAAAGACGAGTATATATGCTTTTAAAGTAAACAGAGTAGCTATTAACATGTGAACAAGCTGTAAAACAAAATTATCTATTCAATTTTATAAATATATTAGATTCTTATAAGCTAGAATTATATGTAGCTTGACATTTTCCCAAAAAAAAAAAACAAATAATAGGTAAAGAAATTTGACAAGAACACCATCGTAAAGGTTAAAAAAAAGTACCTTGAACGGCTCTTCCAGTCTGAAGATACTATTGCATAACTTCAAGGAAATTAGTTTCTTAGGAGAAAAATCTGGTGGTAAATTTGCTGAAGGATATCCCTCCCAATCAAGCAATCTTAAACTATTGGGTAAGTATTTAGGGTAAGTTGAAAATTGGGTATTCCGAATCACAAGAATCCTAAGATTAGTCATCTTCTCAAAGGCCATACCATTCCATCTCACTTCTTCTTGTTGAGGTGGATCAAGCATTATTCCTTCAATATTACTGTTTCCCTATAATGAAAATCCACATAAACAACATTGTTAGACATGGTCAAATAGCACAATAAATTGAATGTACATGACTAGGAAATAGACAAGATTTAGATACTTACTAAATTTTCACATAGCACTTTAAGAACATCCTTGTAATACCATATTCTACTGCGTTTATCAAGACTTGATGGTGCCTCTTGCCTAACAATCTCTCTACCCATCTGTTGTATTAGATCATGCATGCACAACTTACCAATACCAGAAATAGTTACAAGAGATTTTTCAACAAGCACTTCAAAATAGAACCTTCCACCAAAATCAAAAGCTTCTATTATGTCTTCAATGTATACAAATGTCTTTGCCTTAAAGAAACAAGCAATATCTAGGAAAATACGCTTAGCATTGTCTTGTAAGCAATCATAGCTCATCTTTAGTATATTATGAATTGTTCTTTCCGGAATCCTCTCATATTGTTCCAATGTAGACCTCCATTCTTCTAAGTTTCTATGTGCCAAATTGGAGCCTATTAATCTTAAAGCAAGAGGAAGGCCTTGTGCATATCTTATGGCATGACTTGCCATATCTTGATAGCCTTTTGGAGGATGGCTCAAATGAAAGGCATGCCAACAAAAGAGTTCAAGAGAGTCATAATCATTCAGCGCCGTCATTTCATATGTTTTTTCAATGTCACGTGCAACTAACAATTGCTTATTTCTCGTTGTTATAATGACCTTGCTTCCACAGCCAAACCAATCACACCCTCCTGCAAGTTGTTCTAACTGATCAAGCTGATCAACATCATCAAGAACCAGCAAAACTTTTTTATGTGAGAGTCTGTGTCTTAGTATAGATATTCCTTCATCAACACTGCTAAACTTTATCCTCTTTTCCTCAAGAATCTCTGATAAAAGCGTTTGTTGAAGGCGAACCATGCCATGATATTTTGTTGATTCTTCTCTAACGTCAAACAAAAAGCATGCACCTTCAAATTGGTAGAAGATTGTATTATACAAGGCTTTTGCAAGGGTTGTTTTGCCAATCCCCCCGGTTCCATGAATCCCCAACATACAAACTCTATCATCAGTTTCACCCAGAAGTGACATTACTTTTTCTATACGAGGCTCAAGTCCAACCATGTAATCAGTGTTATGGAAGCGTTTAGGAGGCAGCCTAGCACATGCATCTTCAACAATCCTTTCAATAAACCCAAATTCGTATCTACAAAAAGGAAATTTTCTACTCTTAAAATGAAGATATTCATGCAAAATGTCTTCAATTTTTTTTTTTTTTCAGTTTACCATATATCTTTTAATAAAATCATATTTTGATGTTTCAAAGATGACATCAATATGTATCAATTAGCTCTCGTATTGTAAACAGAATAAAAGTATTTAAAAAATATACAATATATATTTAATTTAAAAATATTTGCCGATGGACCAGATAGAATCAGACCCAAAAAAATATAAATCGAAAAAAAAAGTATGCTTTTCAAATATTAAAGTAATAACTCGCCATCCAAAAAAAATATTAAAGTAATAACAAATAACCATTAATGTCAAATATAATATCTTACCGATCCACACAAATAGTGAAGCTTATCTATCATTCATGTGATAAATCAGATAGTGCACCCCAAAAGCTAATGTATTCTATAGTCATATATGATTGTCCACAATAATATTGGATTTCAAATTAAGCAGAATTAATAGAAATAGTTATGAACTGGATTCAGAAACTTTAACAAGAAAGAAAAGGTACAACTCTCAACAACAATAGATACTCTGTTTAATAACATTTCTTCTACACGATTTGTTAAGACCCCAAGTGAAGGGATTCACCTTTTAAAGTGCACCAACCAGTAATTTCAGATATATTCAATAGCGTCTCGAATCATCAGCAACCAGTAATCAAGAATTTGAAAATTCTATCAGCACAATGCAATAAAGAAAATAAAATAAAGAAACCTACCCATCTTTAAAAAGCCAGGCCGACGACAAACTAGCTGCTTCAGACAAAGCAAACCTCCATCTTCTCACTTTCTCCAAATCATTTCTGAACCTGTCTTCATGAGCAGCCATGGCTTCGCCAAAGCTATTCCTCTGATATTGGACATCCATTGGATCCACCTTGTAGAATATTGGCATAACCAGCTGGTTCTTCTCCTTCTTACATCGAATGATGTGGGTCAGTTCCTCTAGGCACCATGTGGAAGTAGCGTAGTTCATAGAGAACACAATGATCGAAACCCTCGATTTCTCTATGGCTTTAAGAAGCGCCGGTGAGATCCGTTCCCCTTTCCCGAGCTTCTTGTCGTCTATGAAGGCGTTGATTCCCTTACGGCGCAGAGCATCGTAGAGGATGACAGTGAAGGAGTGACGAGTATCTTCACCTCTAAAGCTCAGAAAAACATCATATCTAAACTTTGGTTCGCGGGCAAAGCCATAGGATGATGGTGATGGAACTTGAATCGCCATGGCTGCGATAACCACGACAAATTGCTAGATATTGATATTTGATTCTGTAAGCAGAGAGAAATTTTACAGAAGTGTCATTCACCGGCGAAGAGTGAGGCACAAATTTAATTCCAGCTGGCCGCCCTATGGGATCTGATGCTTTCACCTGGCAAAATGCTCATCAAGATGCCTCACTGCGTTTCAACCAAAAAATAAACTCTTCAACAACAAAAAACCGGGGGGGGGGGGGGGGAGAAAGAAAGAAAGAAAGACGCGACGCCTCGTCCTCATCGCTGCTTTCATGACCTGAGAAACCGCGTCTATGTCAAGACTCAAGAGTACGGATTCGGTGGATGAATAGAAACAAGGGAGAATTTCAGTGATGTCACTGTTATTTTAAATCGGGCTCAAAACTATATTTATTATATTCTATTAAATTATATAAGGTTTAAAGAAAACTTTTACCCTCTCAACTGTTATTAGAAGCGGGAAAAATGACAACAAAATTTTTTTAAATTATATAAATAATATTTTAATATTTTAAAATATCATAATTTTTTAAAAATCTTTAAAAACTTTTTTGTTATTAAAAAATTGATATAAATAATTAAATTGCCATTAGTTCAAAATTTCAAATGCAAACTTATAAATTACTATTACACTCTTATAATTTTAAGAAGAAAATTTATGAATCTTAAAACAAACCTTATAAATAAAAATTGATATTTGTAATACTTGAAAAACATCATAATTTCAAATGCCATCTTGTAAATTACTGTTGAATTCTTATGATTTTAAAAAAAATTGTTAATCTCATAACAAAACTTGTAAATGACAATTGATATTTGAATTAAAAATAATTTAATCATTTATATTAATTTTTTAATGATAAAAAAATTTCTAAAAACTTTAGGAAAATTATAATTTTTTAAGAGATCATAATATCATTTAAATAATTTAAAAAAAATTATCATCATTTTCCCTTAGAAATACATTATGTTTTAAATGTAATTTTTTTTAATTTTTTAAAATAATACATTGAGTATTTTATCATTACAAAAGTTAATTTTAATTGTAGTTAAGTAAAAAATTATAAAAAAATAATATAAAAATTTATAAAAAAAGACACATAAAATTACAAATAAGTATCACATAAAAATTAATATTAATTAAGTTTCAAAAATAATGATTGATCAAAATCATATTTTATCCTTTTATACAGGTAAGAAGTAACATGTATATTCTATAATTTATATATAATTTAAGAAACTTAATTAATATTAATTTTTTATAAATTAATTATATGTAATATTATAGGTTCTTTCCTATAATTTTTTATCTCCTTTCCTATAATTTTAAAGCTAACTAAGAGTTAGAATTAACTTTTTAATAGAATAGCATGATATTTAATGCACAATTTTTAAAAATTTTTAAAAATTGCACGACATAAAAATATGGGATATTAAATACTCCAAAGCAAATAGGATCAAAGGGAGTAAATTTAAGTGTAAGATATATTTTTAAAATAAAATTTTTATATATTTAATATATTTTTATCTAATCAAATTAGAATAAATAAATTTTAATGAGTTAATAATGTTAATAATAAAAATTTATCATAAAATAAATTATTTATAAAATACATGTATATTTTAGTTTAATAAGAAATAAATATCTTAAATATATAAGATTAAGGATTTAAATTTTTCCTATTTTTAAAATTTTCTTGCCACGTGTCTTCTTCCGTTGATTCTCCACCCCATTTCATTTGTCCCTCCACTTTTCAAACTGTCGCCCCATGGCCGTATATCCTTCACCTTCTTCTTCGATTAATTCCTCAGTTTTTTTTTTTCTCTACATGTTAAATAATAACTTTATAAACATAGGTTTATGAACAAAATCTATTAATTGCCAACCAAATGAAAATTTTAAAGCTTAAATCTATAATCTATAATATATTGTAATTATAGTTAGATGGGTATTGTGGATCTACAGTATCCATCTAATTTTTTTGTTTTTTAATTTTAGGTAAAAATGTAAATTTAGTTATCGATTATTTTTTCAAGAATACTAAATAACCTATACTATTAGATGGTACGAAATAAAGTTTTAACTTTTAAAAATAAAGCATTCAATAATCCACCATTAATTTCACTTGATGGACATTAGGTAGGGCTCATAAATTTTTGACTAAAATAACACGTGGCACAATATGTGTAAAGGTATAAATTTAATAACAAACTATTGTTTGAAAAATACCAAATAGCCTCTACCACAAAAAAATAGATCATCCAACATTTTTCTATCAATTTTGACTAAATGTTATTTATTTTTAGACTTATGAGATCCACAACACGTCAATCTCTTAAATCTTCTTGTATTTGTTCTCAATATCAATTCGAGAAGAAGCAGTTCAAAAAAAAAATTATCTAAAGACATTCATAAAGACAATACAAACGAAGTAGAAGAAATAATTTGTGATTAAATTAAACTAGAATCAAGTTTCTCTCACGTGTAGTACCATCGTAATTCAAATTAATACTTCACTTAAATTACCACATAGATTTAAACAAAGCCTTATCTTCTTCCTCTTCTTCTTCTACTTCATTGACATCATTCTCATGAATGTCTTTAAATAAAAACTTTTTGAATATCTTCTTCTCGACCCGGTATTGAGAATGAAAGCAAAAAGATTGAGACACTGACACTTTGTGGGTCCTATAAGTTTAAAAATAAACAACATTTGGTGAAAATTAATAAGAAGGTACTAGATGATCCTTTTTTATAGAAAAGGCTACCTAGTGCTCCTCTAAAAATAATTTGTGTCTAAACTTGTACCTTTATTTTGCTTTGTTAGAGTATCATGTGTCATTTTAGTCAAAAATTTGTGGGCTCCATATGAAAATTAACATCCATTAAATAAAAATTAACAAAGGTTATTAGATGCTTTATTTTTAAAATTGTAAAATTTATTTCACGTCATTTAATAGTATAGACTACCTAGTCCTTCATTCCTCTCTCCACCCTCGGCAACTTGTCTGCTTCCCTTTTCCTATTGTTTGCTCGCCACTGTGGAGGTAAGTGGTTGCTTTTTTTTTTTTTTTTTCATTTTCTCTTTGCTATGAGGCTGCTTGTGGTGTGTGAGTAAGTTTAGATTTCATCTTCCTTCCTCCTTAGCTATTGAACATCCATGTGTGTGTGAATTGTAAGCTTAAGTTTTTCCCATTTTTGGGTCAATTAATTTTGCTTCTTATCCTCCTCTAAGAGTAGCTAGGCGAAAGTCTTATCCTCTTCTTTGGTGTGGTTTATGAGCTGAGGAGTGATAGCTCCTACTGCACTTTGGTTAGAGGCAGGACACTGGTTCTTCTTTCTCCTCCTTAGATTTCAGTAGCAACGTGAAGCATCCTTTTACTCCACTGGCTGAAGAAGTGCCCTGTTCCTTAATATTTCGGTTGTGAGTTTTGTAGGGAGATTTGGTAGTAGGTTTGGTTAATATTGGATACTATTTTATTATATTGATGAGCTGAAAATTAGTGCAGAAATTAGATGTTAGAAATTATTGAATTTCATTGGATGTTCTTCTCATAATTTAGTTAATATTAAATGTTTTCATAGAGCTTTGTAGGAATGATTGAAAGAAGAAGTTGATAGAAATGAGATTGTTTAAATTCCATATTAAAGCCTAGAAGAATTATAAAGACAATATAATTCATTAACACTTTGCACGATTTCTTGACACTTAAAGGAAAATTGTTAGACTAAATGGCAATTAAGATTTTTATTAACCTTAAAATAAGAGCTGTGTTAATGATTGGGATTAAATACTGTCAAGTGTTGTTGACTATTTGATAAAATTTATTAAAAGTTTTATTAAGAGTTTAAGGGGTTAATGAGAAATTTAAAGAATTATTCCCTCCAAACCACAATATAAGGCATCTTTTATAAGTTTTACTTGATTCAAAATATAGAGCATTAGATAATTTTTATATTTATTTTTTAACTATGTCCCTACGTCATTTATTACTCTTTTTGAAGAGATCATGTATTGAAATTTTAAATTACTATTACTAATACCCTTATATAAGGTATTTATTAAGGATATAAATGAAAAAATATGGACATTTTTAGAAATTTAAGATTTTAACTAAAATTATTCATAAATTATAAATTAGTTAACTATGACTTATATTGTGGTCTAGAAAGAGTATTGAATAGCTTTGATGTAAATTTTGCTTGCTTATATTAAAAAGGAAAATCATAATGATATAAGAATTGTTGGTTCATGTGCTAGATTAATTTGGGGCATCACTAAAATAGTAAGAATTTAAGGGAGTCTAATTATATGATTATTGAAAACACTCATATGAGTAGGTAGCATTCCAAATAAATTTTTAGCAAAGTGTTGATAAAATTCTTTTATTTAAATTTTACTATTATTTCTTTTATAAATTATACAAATATCTTTGCTAATCCTATTTTTTAATAATTGTTTTATTAATGATGATATCTTAATTTTACCAATGATTTATGTTTTTGATAAGTGATTATTGAAGTTGATATATGACAAATGGTATTACTTCTTAGAAGCAACTTAATTACTTAATTCTAGTTTGATATGAAAATTTTTAGTATAATGATTTGTGTACAAAGAAAAATGATAATAAATTTGGGCAATAGAAAATAATTGGTTGAACAGTATGTTTGAAAGTAAAAAATTTTAAATTGTTTTTCTTGCTTCATACATGCTTGATTTTAGGTAGGGGAACTGAATTCAAAGCATTAGATGCTAACATCAGTGCTATTAGCCCCTGATGCATCATGGTACGTCTAGCTAGCAAGATATTTATAGAAGGTGTTAGTTTCATGCAAAAGCCAACGCACATGGAACAGAAGGATTGTTATTCGTGAGTCTCGTGCTTGTGTCTGTTTTTATGTGCCTTGTGTCTGCGTTTGTATTCGTGAGTTTCATGTTTGCACTTGTCATTGTAGCTTCGAGCTAAGGTTGTTATTCATTTTTTATTCTGATAAAACCCTTCAAGATTTGAGTTAAAATTGATTATTTTTATGTTAATTCTCTAAAAACATTCTTCTTAATTGTACCATTACTTGAATTTTTTTTATAACTTATAAGCAATACAAATTTTGATAAACTCATATGGTTCTATCATCATTATTTAATTTTACAGTTATATTATTGAGCAACCTCGTTAATTATTGTTAGTTTAAGTATATATTTAATCATTTCATTTTTAAACTAAATTTATTAGTTACTATTTTCATATTTTTTCATTATAATTTTGATTGAAATGATGCTCGCTAAAAATTTCTTTAATCTCATATATTGTAATTGACCATGTGCCTTCTACTGATCATTAAGAGGCTACATTGCTTTTTGAATAGTAGAAGCACACTTTGATAATCTATTTTGGTGAAAATATGTATTATATTATATGATTTTAATTTAGTACTCAACGTATATTGTAATTACGTTCAAGTTTTATTTTATTGGTATATAATTTATTAGTATGAAGTTAAGCTTCTTTGTTAGATTGGTTGACAGGTTTTGCTATTATAGAAAATTTGAGAAGTCTATATTATAGAGGAAATTTTGCTGAAATTTTTACAAATATTTAAAACTTTACAAATTTTGTAATTATATATAAATTATATATTGATACTTTAGCTTAATCTTTGATTAATTAAAACTTATGAAATGTGCGTTTATCTCATATTTCATACTGGTCACATCATTAATTTTGGGGTGTAATAGACTTGATAAAAAAGTGAATGTGTGATCTATTATTTAAAAAATATGGGTGTGAGACTTACATTGATAAATGTTAAAAATTTAGATAATATGTAAAAAATGTTAAGATTTTTGTATTTTAAAAGATAATATAGAATCCTAGATAAAAATTGGCGATAAATATAAAATTTTTAATAAAAATAATAGGTGATAAATATGCAAAGAATTACCAATAGTAAAAGAAAATGATTATGGGACTTGTAGTTTAATTAATAAAATTTATTTGCATAGGATACAAATATTTGTCATATAAATTTCCATTTGTAAATGTTAAAATTTTAAATAAAGTGCAAAAAATAATAAAATTTTTATATTTTAAAAAATTATGTAGGATCTATAGTAAAAATTAGAAGTGGATTTAATATTTTTAGTAAAAATAATATATGATAGATATGTAATGAAATTTATATGGGAATAACACAATTTAGATAAAAATAATTTATTATTAACACTGGGTGACAAATCATAAAATAGATTATGTGAGCATATATATAACAAGTGTTTCTCATGTTTTTCAAATGGATAAGGTATAAAACTCTATTACTTAATTATTTATACTTTCCCCGTTTAAAAATATAAAGTATTTTTTGAGGAGTTGGATGTTAAAAATGTAAGGTATTTTTAGTCTTTCGAGGTATAATCATTGTCTTTTTTCAAAAGTGTCTCTATTGATAATAACTTTATATTTATTGTAGGGTTTTTAATAGGGGTAAATATGAAAAGATAGGGTTGATTTGAAAGTAAGTAATTACTTTATTAAGAGGCGAGATTCAGTTAAAAATGTCTTATATTTTTAAACGAAGGGAGTATGTAAAAGTTGATTATGGTTTGAAAACCTATAAAAAAAATTAATGTAGTTATGTGCTCCAAGTGTAAGCCAAAAAAAATTATGGGCTCCAAATTAATTTTACAATATTAATGAATTTATCTTCCATTGTGCAATTAATATTTTTTTAATAATCATTATGTTACTTGTAATGGTTGTACATATAATTAATAAATGATGTTATAACATGGATTATATTATTTTCTTAATTTACAACCATTATAATTATGATTTATAAATAATAGAAAAAATATATCTGCAGGTCCATACAGTTTCACTCAATTTTAAATTAAGTTCTTACATTTTATTTTATTTGAATTGAGCCCTTATAGTTTGATTGGTTAAATTTTTTTAATCCCTAAAAACTAAAGTCCATAAATTCTTCCTAAAAAACGAAATTAAGAAATTTTGTGTTTTTATTAAATGATTATATAATTTTAGAATTAATTACATGGTTTTTATAATTCAAAACTTATATAATTATGCTGTCTTCTAAATTTTTTTATACATAATTTTTTTATAAAAATAATAAAATATAAACAGTGTATTAAATTAAATTTTCTTCCTTTTTTAGATAAAAGTGTTAAATTAAATTGTCTATGAACTCTAACAGTATATTTTTTACCAAAGAAAACTTTTAACAATTACATACTTCTTTTACTGAAAAATATAGGACATTTTTAACTGAATTTCACCTCCAATAAAGTAGTTATCTACTTTTTCACTAACCCTATCTTTTCATATTTACTATTATTAAACATCCTATAATAAATATAAAGTCATTATTAATGGGGAAACTTTTGAAAAAAAAAAGGCAATGATTACACCTCAAAAGACTAAAAATATTTTTTATTTTTAACATTCAACTCCTTAAAAAATGTCTTACATTTTTGAATGGAAGGAGTATGCTAATAATTTAAAAATATTTTATCAAAATTATAAAATTTAAATAAGAACAAATATAAATTATATTGACTAATTTATCTTTTATTTCATTAAATTTTTTTTGGCATTTACATATTTGGAATATTATTTTAGTAAACTTACTCCATTTGTTAAAAAATATAATGAATTTTTTTGCTGCTATTTTTTAAGAATTAAATGTTAAAAAATATAAGACATTTTTAGTGTTTGAAGGTATAATCATTATTTTTTTCAGTACCCCTAATGAATAAATTATTTTATATTTATTTTAAAGTGAAACATTCAATTAAATAGTAAATATAAAAAATAGTAATGTGATTTAAATAAGATCCAAATCAAACTACTCTTGAAAAAAGGACAATAACAACACGAGAAGGGGACACTCAATCAAACACAGTAATGTAATTGTTGCAGGCAAACACAACAATTTTTTTGTGTGATTTTATTTATTAATAATAAGGGAGGCTTTATATTTACTTAGGTCAAACCACTATATACAGTATTCAATCATATATAATTTTTAAATATTTCTAACATATTGTATTTATGTAACAAAACTTATGAACAATAAAAATCAATACTCTTTTTAAATATTTTAATAATAATGCATTAGAAAAGGTACTTTTTATTATATACAATCTAAATAATCTGTGCTTTAAGAAAAATATTTTCAAGCATAAATTTAAATACAATGTACTTTTATCAAATTAATTTTTACTAAATAAACTTTTACTCCCTTAATTTAAAAAAATGTAATAGATTTTTTGAGAAGTTGAATATTTAAAAATGTATGATATTTTAAATTTGTTTAAGGTGTAATTATGATGTTTTTTAAAAATAATTATATCACTTTATATTTATTTTAAATTAAAATATCCTATTAATAAAAATAAATATAAAAAATAAGATTAATTTAAAAATAAATTATTATTTTATTAAGAAATAAAATTTTGTTAAAATTGTCTCACAAACTCTAGCCATTAAGCCATGAGTTCGTGAAGCAAGTTTGGACTTTGAACGTGGTAAGAAGAACCTAGAAGTTTCCTTCTCGCTTCTCCGTGTCAATCATTGAGAACATGGGTCAGGACCCGACCCTTATTTTTCCTTGTGAATAATATATAATTTACTTATGAATATTTTTTTTCTTAATCGATTCCCGCGTCCCAAATAGGCGTTGGAGGTGCCGTGCGAACTACGAAGAAGCGGAGAAAATCACAACGCGGGCACGAAAGCTCCACATATTGGCTATATGTTTCAACGCAAGTCAATCGCATTTTTCCAAACCCAATACCTTGGTCTGTCAGTTATGATTACCCCAAATCAAGAGCTATCATCTGCTGGATCTTCCTCCAGCGAATCAACTCCCATTCACTACGATGTTTTCCTGAATTTTACAAGCGAATCAACATTCACTACCGCTCTCTGCGATGCTTTGGGCAACAAGGGAATCCGCAACATCTTCATCGACCCCAAGAAACTGAGGAAGAGGAAGAGGAAGAGGAAACAAGTTTTCGCATCACCTGATCCTCTTAGAGCAATTGGAAAATCAAAGGTTTCGATTCTTGTGTTCTCTGAGGATTATGTTTCTTCCCCTGAGTGCCTTGATGAGCTCGTCAAGATTATGAGATGTAGGAGGAAAAAGAAGCGAGTGGTTTTTCCGATCTTCTACAAAATAGAACCAACAGTTGTTCGGCATCAGAAAAGTGTGTATGAAGAAGCCATGGTTGCTCATCAACAGAGCTTCGGAGACGAACGGGTTCAGAAATGGAAGTCGGCTTTGAAGGAAGCCGCCGGTTTGTCCGGATGGCATTTTGAACAAGGGTAAGTACCGTGCATTTTTTATGGGTTAAAGATATTGAATTGAATTTTGTATATTTTTAATACTTAATTAAAAATTATATTATTTATCATATGTCAAAAGATGAATTTTCTGCAGATTATCCTGGGTGGAATGTTGGGATAAAATGAAGAGGGATCTATAAATTTAATAACTCCAATAAAAATCGAGTACATTGATGTTTTGGTCCTTAAAAATGTGTCCAAAAAAATTTCATACTCAACTTAAAGTTAGGCCACATTAGAATATTTTGCTAATTAGTCAGGACTTAAGGGGTGAGGATATGGAAGGTAAAATATTCTATGGAAGACTAAAATAAGATGTTTAAACTTTAGAAAACTAAATTAAAATATTGTGTATTTGGAGAATTAACTTGTTTATTGGACCAGAAGAGAATCAACTCGTGAACATAAGCAAATTAGTTGAGTCTGTTATATGAATTATGAAGACTAAAGTATAATTGGTTATGTGAGTATGCTGAAGCTCCAATGTGTTCACCAACTATTAACATGACTTGCTGATTACAAACTAAGCTGTAATTTTCAACTCGCAGGTTTTGCTTACTCCATTGTATTTTGTGTGTTATTTTGATGAAATGATGAAAAAGAAATGACTTAAATTTATCCTTAAAACTTCATGGTGATAAAGAATCGTTGATGCACTCGTGTGTAGATCTGAATATGACTTCGTTGAGAAGATTGTTGAAGCAGCGTTTTCCAAGTTACCTCCTAAACGCTTACATACTGGGGAGCATATAGTTGGACTCGACACTTGCATGGAAGATGTGACTTCAGTTCTTGATACTGTGTCTGTTTTGGGAATTCATGGAACTGCGGGAGTTGGCAAAACGACACTTGCCAAAGCTGTATACAATTCAATTGTCCACCAATTTGAAGAGGCGTGTTTTCTTTTCAACATCAGAGAAGCTTCAAAACAACGCAAAGGCATCCTACGTCTTCAAAAGACGCTTCTATCAGAGATTCTTGATGAGAAGAAGAAGATCAAGTTAAGAAGTGTTGATGAAGGGATCTCTAAGATAAAGCAGAGGCTACACCATAAAAGAGTTCTTCTTGTTCTCGATGATGTGGATGAGATAGAACAGTTAGAACAACTTGCGGGATATTGTGGTTGGTGTGGAAATGGTAGCAAAATCATTGTAACAACAAGAAACAAGCAATTACTGATTGATGGTCATATTGATAATGAATATGGAATGAAGGAGCTAAACGACAATGACTCTCTCAAGCTTTTCTCTCGGTATGCCTTCCACTTGGACAAGCCTCCAGCAGAATATGAAGAAATGTCTAAACGTGTGGTGAGTTATGCACAAGGCCTTCCTTTGGCTTTGAAAGTGACGGGCTCCAAATTAAATCATAAAAGCATGGAAGCATGGAAATGTGCATTAGATCAATTGGAGAGACTTCCAGGAAGGAAGGTTGAAGATGTTCTCAAAATAATGGGAAAGTAGGATGCTCGAGAACTGTTAATGTTTGTTATTCTTTCGTACACACAGAATTTCTATGAAGAATGTTACCCTTTTGTCCTTAGTTAATGAATACACACACACACACATATTACTTTGGTTTAATGTCTCTGAAATGTTAGGTTTTGTTCAGCAATATAACCTTTTATGCATGATTTATATTTACTTCATATATAGATTTTTTTTTGGCCAGGATTTATTTAATAGAATAACTACCTCAAATTTTGCTTGCTCTGTCTGGCTAGTCAGTCAAAAGGGAAGCAACTTCTAGGAATTAAGAGCGGGCTTTTTTTCACTTTGAAACCCTTGGTATGGGTTGGGGGGAAGACCATCTTCCCGTGACATTATTGAACACTGATTAGAATTATGGTACTGACCTTAATTCTGAAATGGCCGACTGTACCTTGATGCTTCAATGGCAAAACCCCTAGTTCCCAGGGACAAAATACGAGGGAAGCAACTTTCTGGGTCCAGGGAAAGGGGAGAAGTGGCCATGAAAACATGCCTTGAAGCCTCCGGCTAGTGACAAATGAATTGTGCGATCAAATAGCATATGAAACTGACTTGAATGCTGAAAAGATCATCTTTATTCTGAGATAGCAAAGATGGAAGGCCCCATGGGGCAGGAAAGGCAAGCTTCTCATGTCAAGCTATCTGGTAATAAGTTGGTATTTGTATTCCTATCCTTACTAGACGTTGAAAGGGCTTATTGAACTCATTTTGTTATAAGATAGATATGTAATTTATATATGGCCCAAAAAAAAAAAAGAAGATATATAATGAATATTTGAAACAATTAAATTTATGTTTTTCTGATGTACACTGAATAAGTGATATCAATAGTTTATGCATGTATATTTGCACTCATGTGGCCTGGCTTCTTGGAGTCAATACACATGGTAAGTGTGTTGCAGCACTAGCGTATTCCTATGTTGAATATATGCTTTACTTGCTTTGGGAAGCCACTTATATGAAGGTGCTCTCTTGTATTCTGGTTTTTTGGAGTCAATTTACAGGTTAGAAGTGTTGCAAAAATTGTATTTTGTTTGTTGGATGTGAGTTTTGGAGACACTATTTTTGTATACGTGTATATGTCTCTTAATAATGATATCACACAGAGCAACTGCTTTAATACACCTCTGGATATGGTTTTATTTGTTTGGGAAAGCTTTTGCCTCTGGATATTGAAAAAAAAAACATCAACAACTCTATTTAGTTCTCTGTGTTGCTGATTTTCAATTTGCTGGTGGTTTTCATATTTAAGTGTTACCGTGAGTTCTTTATTATATGATAGTTACCTGCAATTGAGAGATGAGTCGCTTGAAAATGCTAGGCAATTTATCGTTGACATATTGCAGAATATACTGACGGATTGACATGTAGGTTATTCCTGGTATCTAATTTTGTGATCCCCTTAGTTTATACATTTCTGATGGACTAATATTCATTCATTCATACGCAGGAACACTATTGTGATGTATGCTTTTGCCTCAGTCTTTACTCTTCAACGTTCAGGGGTTCAATTTGAGCTAGAAGGAGGCTGAAAGATGGATTGTGCGTCTCATCCAGTGATCAAAACCTGATGCGAAACTGCAGGTAACGTAGAGACGAAAAATGAGGCAGCTTGTAAAGATATAACAAGCATAAGTTTAGCAGATATGGTGCATGACGCATGGGAAAACTCTACTTGAGCTAATTATAATCAGTCATTCCAATATCAATGTGTATGTATGTATAACTAAATATCAGAATCAGCTTAACCAAAAATGTTCAGATAACGATATTGTCTCTGCTTCCTTTTCTGATGTGAATTGAGCTTCGTGTATCTATCCCGAGATCATACTGTTGGAATAAAATTCAACATTTTGGGCCCACACATGTAAATTTTAAGTTTTGGTACAAGTATCAAGCAATTCTCGTACAAGTTTTCTTTCTGGTTGATCGGTTTATATGATTAGGTCAGATTTAAATATTGTCAGGTCTCATTGGAAGTAATTCTCCAAAGGTATTTTTTACATTCACATTGACTTGAACCCTACATAAAGGACTATAATATTAATTCCTTCCATTATAACGGATGCCTATTGATTGATTCAAGTTTTATGCTCTTTTTAACCGTTTACCGCCAAGAGAGTGGTCACTGAGAAATGGCTTCAATTTCAGTATCAACAGATCAGCATCATACTACTATAATTTTTGTTTGAGTAGGTTGATGAACGTGTTCCAATTGTCAAGGAGGTGACTTGTTATCAATAAAGGATATAAGTTACCGTTGATATGATTATATGACATCTAATTCATCAAAGTTACAACCCTCGTTCAACCATCCTAAAACTAAACATCAAGATTCAATGAAAACCCCAATCACAGAAAACATCAGGGTTTCATGCGTGCCTGGACCACCTTGGATAGTGTTGGTCTGGTAGTTCCCCCCCCCCCCCCCCCCCCAAATTTCTTCGGAGCTTGACAATAACAGAGCCCTATTTAAATGACAGCCCAATTTTGTCGCTCTTCTTTCAACAGCCTATAATTCGATCATGACAATAATACATAATTATGGTTCACTAAGTTATTTTCTTCTTGACCAAATAGTATTTCAATCTATTTTTTCTGCATTTGTGTTAGGGTTTGAATGATAACTTATCTTTTTAAAAGATAAATTCTTAGTATATATTTTTGTACATTTTCTTCATATAAATTAATGAAAAGTAGCAGTGCAATATAAGCAAGTAGATATTCTTTTTTTTTTTTTTTTGCTGTGCATTGTATGAAATTTGAATGATTAGATATCTAGTCTAGTTTATATAACTTGTGAACAGGATAACTTAGATTCTAATATATACATGTGTGTGTTGATGTAATTATTTTTCAAAAATAAAGTATTATTTTGTCCACATCCTTCATTCTATGTGGTCGAAAAAAATATCAAAATAAAATAAAAACTATTTAAAAAATCATTTAACTTTGAGATTGAACTCAGTTATTAATTATTGAATTGTACTTTGTCATGTGCTTCAAAAAAAAAATTTAGTGAAAGGATGACCACGTTTAATACTCAACCTTTCTTTGAATAAGATTATTTTTAATAAAGGAACATTTGTGTGAAAACTCTTGAAAATAGGCAGGATCCAATCCGCATAGTGGGAAACAGGGGCGGAAGTTGGAGTAAGGCCCCCCACACTCTTCCATGTTCTTTTTTTATAATTTTTTATCTATTAAAAATATATAACATTTTTAATTAAATTTTATTTTCAATTAAATAGTTATTTATATTCAAATTAACACCATTTTTTATATTTACTTTTATTTAATAAAATATTTTACTTTAAAATAAATATAAGGTAATTTATTTTTAGGGATATTTTTGAAAAAAACACAATAATTATATATTAAAATAGTAAAAATACTTTATATTTTTTTAACATTCAAATCTTAAAAAAAAATGTCTCTTGAAAGGAGTAAGGTTCAAGCAAATAGTGGCTCCAGCAAGCACTTAGGTATGCAATATTGTGTCCCTCTCAAGGCCAATGGACCCACTACTATAAATATATAAATATATGGGAGAATGATAAGTAAGGACCTTTTAAAAGCAATAATATTAAATTAAGAACTTTAACATCAAAACATGATAAAAAGAATACTGAAATTTGAAAATGTCAATGTTAAAAAATTTTAATTTGATATTAACGGTTTTACTAGCTATGTTCTTATTTGTCATTCTCCCTCTACTAGTTATATATAATTTCTTGTTAATATATTTAAGTAAAAATAAAGCACATAATGTCCCAGTTTATTAAAAGATTTTAGTTTATTAAATCTTCACTCCTAAAAATAAAAGAAATAGTTAATATTAATTAAATTATTTTTTCAGTTAATATTATATAAACATTATTTTTTTAATTAAATTTTCTGGAAGCCAAGAATTTTTGTATGAAGACATATTTATTTTTTGCTTAATTTGTATATAATGTTAATTAAAATTATTTTAAATATCTAAACCTTATAATATTTTTTAAAAAATATATATAAATATCAGATGTATCACTTTACACTTTGAAACATTTTTTTAAAATATTATATATAGTTATACACAATTTTTAATCTGATGATCTCTTTCTTTTAAGTTATAAAATTATTTGTAAAAATCGTTTAAAAGAAATATTTAAATATATAAATTAATTGTAAAAAATTGGCCCTCCATAGTTTTAATGCTGGTTCCTCCCCTGACGGGAAACTTGATTGCACTTGGTTATAGGTTCATTGGTTGGTAAAAAGATCATTTATCCCTTTTACAAGGCACTATATGATAATTGTAATGTATTACCTTATTTTTCTCATATTATCCTTAGTTAATATTGGTTTATGTTGTCTTGGACTCTTGGCTTTTTATTTTTCAAATGATGGGTTTCATATGCGCAAAGTCAAAAACTTTGTTAATTTTCAAGAGAGTTAATAAATTTTAAGCCCTTCTTTAATTGTGATAAATATTCGAGAACTAACTTAAAGAACTGGAAAGAATATATATTTATAAAAACTTAGTGCTGCATATAGTTTGAAAATGAGTTTTCAATGGCTGCATGACTCAGCAATATGAAGTTTATTTTTAGTTGGTCATTGGTTATGGGTTCGAATCTAGTATCCATAAGCTGCTTTTATAAGTTTTTAAGTAAAAAGTTATTTTTGTTTTTAAATTGTATACAAAAAATTATAAATATCTCTAAACTCAACTATTAATTAATTTAATTTCTTAATTTTAAATATTCCTTTAATCATCACCTTGCCATTTTGTCACTATTAATTAATCGTTAGTAAGCATCATATTATATTTTTTATTTTTTATTTAAAATATTTGAGTTGAGAGGTAAAAATGATCCTTTAAATAAAAGTTAAGAAGAAAAAATAATTCTTAACTTAATAAAAAATATTAAAAAAATAGTTAAATTTACTCAAAACTAATCGGTACTAAATGTTTTTAACATCATAATAATGAAAGAAAGAATTTTTAAAATTAAAAAATAAAAATGACATATAATTAAATTTAAAAATATTTATATCTTTTTGTGTATTGTTTAGAAACAAAAATTATCCATTTGGTAAATTTTATTTTATATTTTATGGATTGATTATATTAACTAATGTAATTAAAACTGAAAAGAAAAGTCAAGATAAGATTTTGTTTTGTTAAAAAAAAAAAACAGAGCTATAACATCCCAACAATATATCATGTAAAGATTCTAGCTGTCCAATCTACATCTCTACTACACCAACCTGATTGTCAACCTGCAACGACGCGGATGTCTATCTTTGGGGATCACGCAGCGAAATCCAAAGAGGGGAGCACGTAAGGCAGCGAGAAAACCCAAACCGTCAGAGAGAAGGTGCGAGCGGGAAATGTGGGCCGCGATCAACTGCATTTTTCTATATTCTGATTCAATGGTGCGAGTCGCAATCTGTGTGTGTGATAAAAAATTTAGCAAAAGAAATAATTTAGAAAAAGATCGTCAGAAAGAAAGAGGGAAAAGAGGGGGAAAAATGAGAATGCAAGATCGATTGAGATTCACACTTCTTCTTGTTGGGTTGGGGAGTGGCAGGTGGGGGTAGATCACAGTGAGAGAGAGAGAGAGAGAGAGAGCCAACCTGAGAGGAAAAGAGAGAGAATCTGAATAGAAAGGGGGAAAAAACGAACGAAATAGAGAAAGAAAGTGCTCAGGGAGGAAGATGGTTCAAGAGAGGATCGTCCTCTGAAATCATCCTGAGAAAAGGGCAGCAATACAAAAAGAAAATTATAATTTATGATATATATCTTTTGATCTCCTCAATCAACCCCCACCGATCCCCCCCTCCCCCAGATTGCAGTTCGTTTTCTTCCCCTGAATCATCAAACATTGTTGAAGGCATTCATTTTCCTGTACATTCTTTCATTTTCTCCCTCCCGCAAGGTACATTCTCCCCCCCCCCTTTTCTCCGTGAATGGCTGCTTCATTGCATTTTATTCTTTATTCTTTTGTTTTTGTTTTTGTTTTTGTTTTAATGCCTGAGAAGCAAGCTCGCTTGCTTTGCAGGTTATTCCATATTCCTTTTGTTTTCTAGCATTCATTTTGCAAATTTCTTTTTCCTTTAAGGTGAGATTCCAGGTTCAATCCGACCATATTGCTGAGTATTATTGAGGGGGAGATACTGAGCTTGTTTATGGCCATGTTGAGCAAGAGGTTGTAGACGAGAGATTAAGTTACAAAAAAAAATGAGGGACCCTGATTCGATCTTCGGACCCCAGTGCTTCCATTCCCTTGCTTTTCGTCTTCATTTGTATAGCTAGTGAAAGTTTTTCTGCATATTGCGAAGTTCAGTAGATTGAAGATTAAGGGTTTGTTTTTTCTGCACAGAAACGAAAAAACCTGGCAATTTTTGTGTTACATATCATTCCCTCTGCTTTAACTGCTCTGGCATTGGCTTCAGAAAGCAATGGGGTATAGATGGAACCAATTTGGATTATGGTTCAAAATTTATGTTGCCTTGATTTCTTTGGGGGAAATTCAAGTGTGTTGGTCGCTGAACAATGAAGGTAATTCCAACAATCTGTCTTTCTTCTTCTTTTAACATAGGGGCTTTGTAAGCCATTTGTTTTGCTTTGATGAACATTCATCAATAAAAAAGCAGGGTCAGCCTTGCTGGAGTTCCGAGATAGAATAACGTTTGATCCTTATGGAGCTTTGATGAATTGTAATCCAAGTGATGGTGACCCTTGCGAGTGGTTTGGTGTTCATTGCATTGACAGTAAAGTTCAAATTCTGTAAGTTTCTTTTTAGTTTTCCTCAGACAAATACTTGCAATTTTTCTTAATGGTTGGGTGTTCCTAATGTTTTACATGGCAC